AACTTGTACGTGTTGTACTTGTGCTTGTTTAGTGGTATGCATTATTAAAACATTCCAAACTAACTTCTTTCTCTTTGTATAATAACTATGATTCTATTGTTCCTCTCGTTAACTACCTTCTTTGTTTTGGTTTAATCAAGGAAATAAAATCCTACTGCTCTTGACCCAGCAGGGTTCTGGACTACAGCAAAACAAACATGCATATATTCATTTCTTTATAAACTTTCATGACTGTGGAATAAGCGCATACAATAAATCCACTTTCTCAATCCTCAGTGGATTCTGATGTGGTTCACAGCAGTCACTGGCTATGTGTAAGTGATTATACTTCTCCACTTGATCCTGATGCAGATCACAGCTTGCCTGCTCCAGCTGAACTCTTGATAAACACCCAGGGCTGTTTTAAACACTATGAGAATCTATTTGAGTCTCCTTAAATCCATAGGCTACATTCAGGTTAGATTATTTAAAAACAAAATATATAATATTGAAGGGGACTTTAATCATCAAATAATTTTAAAAATCAAGGAGGACACAAAGCTAGTCAGTGTGAGACAAGAGAATGGAAGTGTAGCTGAGAGAGTAAAAGGGAGGAAAGGGTGACCAGGATACAAAAAGGAAAAACAGGAGAGCAAAGAAGAGAGATGTCGACTGCAGAACGCTCTCTCTCTCTCTCTAGACACTGATTAAGCCGCTGACCCAGTCCTGTGACACAGTGGATTTAGAATCTTTTGGTTGTAAAGTCACATTGGGGAATTAAAAGAAAGCTTGCCTCTGTTCTTCTTTTCGTAGTAAAGAACAAACCACTGCCTGTCTCCCTGTGCTCCCCTTATCCTCCCACTCCACAGATAGTCCTTTAGTCTAAGATAGTAGCACTTCATTTCCTTCTCTCTTCTGTGCACACAATCCTTCTCTCGCTCTCTATTTCCCACTAAACAAATACAGACATACAAGCACAGCCTTTCTTTTCCCTACTATTGCCATAAGGAAACAGCCCTAGGTACATGTAGGTATACACTGTCACTGACTTTACAAGACAGAGTTTTTCAAATGTGCTTGTCAAAACAAATTTGTACCATTTATTATAAGTATCAAGCTACACCAACAAAATGCTAGCCAACAAATAAAAGCTGACAAACTGAACATAACCAATGATGTTATCTGGACTGCTGTTGGTACCTGACGTTAGTCTGACTGGAGGAATATTAGCCACAATAGAGAATTCACAATCAGTGTCTAATCATAGTTTAGAAGGATTCTGGGCAGAGACAGCACTTTGGTGGTCTTGATACAGCTCTTTTTTATTTTAAATGCTATAGAAATATTGCCTATGTCAGAGAACAGAAAGAACCTGGATGTGAATCTTATGTTTAAACATGATACATTAACCAAACATTCACCAAGAGTCCCACTGAGCATCAGCCTCCACCTCATCCACACTTGCCCTACTGCTGTTCAGTTGCCAATACTAAACGCTAGCCCTCCAAGGAATGCAGTGGTGTGGGGATCAGTCCATGTGTCTGCAAGATTTCTGTGGAATATCTGAGTGGGAAGATCAGAAAAGTAATACTCAAAAAACACATGGTATGGTACGCAGTGAGCAGTTTTATCTATGTAGCGCATGAGAACAGCCTTATGGTGAGTATCTTTGCACACTTAATATATTTGACCTATTTTCTCTATTATGTTCTGTTTCACTGCGGTGCATTGGATGTATCTATTAATTCCCAAGGCATCCCAACATGAGGGTTTTCCATCTTTGCCTTTGTCCTTCTTTCTTTCTGTTTAGTGTGTTAATCCTGGAGGAGGGAAAGGATAAGGATTGTCACCATGATCTACATGTCTATAATGGTAAATCATCACGCCAGGGGGAAAGATGCCTTGCCGCTTATTCCAACCAATGTGTGCAGTGACTGGGGTGGGGTGGGTAGGGATGTGTGCGTATTGTGGGGAAATATTTGCACTGATGAGAGGTCAAACCAAATGTCCCTGCCTGCTTATAAACTATGCACCACTGGGGTTAGATCTCCAAGTCTTGACTGTTCAAACATACAGTACACCACTTTCCTCGACATGCTGTGCGCACTTGCAGTTCTGCCACCTGCCACCAAGGGGAGCTCTGAACCTATGATCATTTGTTAGGCATATAAACGACCCATTTCTCCCCGCCCCTCTTCTTTCTCTCTCCCTTGGCTCAGAGTCCCGATCACCTCACCTAATTCTGTCTGCTTCATTTTATCCTGCACAAAGCTGACAAATTCATAGGTTTTGTGGAGAAACACTGGGAATATACATATACACATACAGCGGGAGAGAGAGTTATAGAGAGTCTGGCTTGGGAGAGCTCACAGGATTTACTTATTTTGGAGCTCACTGATGCAGTTGTAGATATGTATGATGGTAAAAGAGCCTTTAAGAACAACAGAAGGAGAGTGGATGAGACCTTGGAGATCACTGGAGCTGTATGATAACCTCAGCTGGAATCCACTGCTTGTCTTGTATGCAAGCTTTGTTCGCTCAAATAGGTAGAGCAAAAGAGAACATCTTTACATAGACGCACTGTTACATTTAGAGTTGTACTGATAAATTTGATGATGTAATTAACAGTATTTATAGCATCTAATCCATGGCAAATGTGGTACAAGGGACAATTCTTGTTTGTCACTTGTCAATCTGCATGGTCACACTTAATCTTAAAAAGATGTTATTTAATAGAATGCAGAATTTTTTAGACTAAAAAAAAAGAAGCCAAGCACATGTTTGCGCAACATGTACATTTTCTGTACAGTAAATGCCAGGTTCATCTCATGGTTATGTATAATGGTGAGAATACTCATGTTATCTTCCAAAATTCTTTACCCTTGTTATAAAATTATTTTAAAAACTATTCTCAAACAGGTTTGTTGCTGTTATTGATACTACAGCCTGCTTTTAAGATTAGACATTGTTTTACCTGAACCATCAAGGCAGTTTCATTTAGTCTTGTTAAGATCTACAATGCATTTCTTTCTTTCTAGTAATAAAATAATGTCAACAATTCTCAAATACATATATTTAGGCTTAAGTGTTTTCCTGAGGTGTTTCTAAGGATACAGTAAATGTGTGATAAGAGTGGAACCACACGAGTGTGAATCGGCTGTGTAACTGTGCAAATGCTTATGCATTCTACGAGACCTCACAGCATGCACATGCTCAAGTGGTCAATGTCATCAACGCATCTCTCCTTGCATCTCAGAGTGAGGACAGAACTCTTTAACACTTGGATCAAATGATACGTCAGTTAGAATAACCCACTGGGGATTTAAGCTGTTATGTGGCTTGTGATGTGAAGATTGCCTGGATAGCACAATGTCGGTGGTTAGCTCTGAGTCAAAGCATGGGCTCAGTACAGGCATTTGATATCTACATGATGTTTTCACTCATCAAACATTTTTAGATCAAGCTGGTTTTCTCATTCAGAATAACTTGCACTACAGAAAAGAACTCAGCTAATATTCACTGCTGAATTGTTTTTCTTTTTTAAGGCAAGTCGGGATGTCAGGTCAGTTTCTCTATTGACACGCAGATAATAATAGTGTCTCAGTTTAGCATGTGCACATATATACATATGTTTGTGTTACCCATTTTCCTAATGGCGGGTTGGCTCATGCTGTAAATCTTTAAAATCAAGCTGGCTTCCCAAAGTCATTAAGCTAGTCTCACTCTGCTGATCACACATAGCTCTACAGCATAACACATTTGACCCCAACTGCGAATGTGTGTGCGTGTGTCTGAGATGGTGCATCTCAGTTTGTGTGTGTGTGATCATTTGCCATTACCTTTAGGCAAGTACAGCATAAGCTAATAAAACATTATGTCCACAAATCTTAGTTTTTTTTTTATATAGAACATTATTGCGATATGACAGAAATTGCAGAGAATGGTTGGCATGGAAAATTCTCCCTATAATTTAACAGCACTTAGACTACATTAAGAAACACTTTGCTCTCAGGTTTCCCTTTTTGCGGGGGGAGGAATTTCTCAAAGTACAGGAGTTTGACACTACTGGCTGTTTTTCTTCTTTCTTCAAACTTTTTTTCCAGGCACACGCAAAGAAGTTGATAGACCATTTTTGTGTTTTGGGCTTTTTTGCATCTCTGGGCTGCTTACAGTGCCCATTATTAGGTCTGGCAAGCCATTCATTCCAATTACAATCACCAAAAAAAAAAGTGAAGTAAGCAAGGCAAGTGTAAATTAAATTGATTGTATTTCACTGCTTGTATCTACAATTGCCAACTGATGACCTGGCACATCCAGAGAGCCCAGTACCCAGAGAGTGTCCCGTATGTGCAAGTGTTGATGGAATAAGCTGGCATGCACAGGCACACACCAATTCACATGCATACACCCAGATATTCAGGTTGCTGGTGCTTCTTTACGTTCCATTTAGCTACATTTAGCTACAGTTAAAGGTTTGTAAAGATGCTGGGTATTTTGTTCTCAAACAGTTAAGTGCATTGTCACCTTTGTTAATATGGGCCCATTCCATTCTGCAGTATGTGTACTGAACAGAGCACTGTCTCTGCCTGTTCAATAATACAATGTTCTCAGGAACACCTTATGTGCTCAGCTGTAAGTAACCAGGCCAACTACAACTGGGATTATAGCCGCATTTTCACTTGGAATATGATGCTTTTCACCTTTTACCTTTGAATATGAAGGTAGCAGAGTTTCTTTGGTTATTACAGGGAAAAAAAATGTAAGCTAGGATAAAAAAGAAGAAAAAAAACAGCACAGGCCTTCTGTGCAACTCCATCCTGAAAAAAAGACACCTCTGTTAATCTTTGCTGCAAGCAGAAGGAGAGGAAAGAAGGATGATGAGAGAAACACTTCCTGTGTGCTCCATGTGTAGAGAGAAATGACATAAAAGTGGAGAGTCAAATAAAGCAGCATAAACAGGGTGGGTGTCAGACAGGAACACTACTCTGATGGTGGCCATGGATTTTGCTGGTAGTGTTTACCTGGCGCAGGTTGCGGGTAACGCGCACGTCATGCCAGGCGTTGTCGTTGAACTTGCCATTAACAGGCTCCACCAGGGCCTCAAAGGCCCCCGAGCCCAGGTTGATGACCAGCCAAACAGCGCCGCTCTTCAAGGAAAGGTTTACATAATCAGCTGACTTGCCGGTGTGCAGCATGAGGCCGTTGCGTTGCAGTGTGCGGAAGGAGAGTGTGATCTCATCAGTGCTGCTCTGGATGGGTGTCAGCGACAGGTCATAGCAGAAGAACTCGTTGCCCTTGAAGGTGGCCACTGACTCTTCCTTACCTGGAGAAGAAAAAAGAGCAAAAGAAAAAACTACACATTAAAAAATGCAACCTGTATTATGATTCCAGGGTTCTAATGAGAGAGTCAGATTTCTCCTTCTGTTAAAAATCTGAATGCAATTGTAAAAACTCTCAACATCAACTTTATCGACTTAATTTACAGCGTGTGATTAGTGCAACTTGTTTGACAACAGATTTACTATAAAATTTATTAGAACTATTCTTATTGAAAGAAACTTTACTGTAATGAAGGCACTTGACAACAAAGTCCCCCTACCCCTCCACTCAAAATGTATTTTTCTTATTATTACTTTACTTGGATGTTTGAGCTTCACTGTGTAGAATGATGTGTGTGTCGGTTTGTTTGAAATTAATCTGCTGAAGGAAGATAGTTTCATAGTGAACCTTATATTTCAGTTTAATACAAGTAGTTGGATTTTTAATGACAGGGAAGGACTAATTACCCTTTACAAAATTTCACTTAGTTAATTTACCTCTGGGAAAAATACCAGACAAAAATTATTATTACAATTATTATTAAAAGGGAGAGTATTTTTAATTGTCCTAAAACATGGCCAAAAGGACTATGAAGCCATATTCTTGCTGTTGAAAGCCAAAAATTCTGCCCTTGAGCAGATTACCTCCTAAACACTGGTACCTGTATTGCTCACAAGGTCACTAAACCAACACTATGACTAATGCTGATGAAACTCTCACAGGCCAAACATTCTGAGATGAAGCTGATCAGATGTGGTAATCAATTCCAGCATTACAACACTTATTGATGTTGCAAGTCTAATGCATTTAAGAAATGAAATATGATAGAAGCTTTACAGTGCAAGAGTGATATTAGTTTACTAATATATTCTGAACAAAGTAATCTAACATATAAACCACCTTCAGTGTAGAATAATACAGTAACAAAGGTATGAGAATTCCTTGTGTAAAATAAAATCAGTGCCAAGACAACAGCTGGAAAAGGATTAAATATGAAGATGATTTTAATTTAGGGGTAGAGGAGAAATACAGAAAGGGAACAACTGAGAAAATAACAAAAAACAACATGGAGTACAAAGTGTATTAAAGGAAGCGCCTTAAACCAAAGAGAAAGGGAAGGAAAGGTGCTGACAACTTTGCTAATGCCTGTATGTCTGCAGCACATGGCCTTCCACTGCACTGAGCTTTGTTCACACACAATCAGTCAAAACACCAGTTTGTACAGTGGACACATGTCAAACAGCAGCCTAAAGGCAGCAGGGATGGGCCCCACATGCAGCTGTTGAGAGCTGTATGAACACCTGTAGCTATCACAACAGAAAGTACAGATGCAACAACATTCACAACGCTGCCACCAAAATCACACAAGTCAAAGTGTGGACACTGAGCATGGGAAAATACTAGCATTTATTTACTTTATTTATATAACATTTTTCTTAATACTGTACTTTGACAATAGACAGTAATACAATTATACAGTAAAAATAAAACTATACAGACAAAATGCAGCCGGCGACACTGCAGGCCTAGCAAAAGCAAGAGCCAACCTGTCCCGTAGATTCAGGGAGGCAAAATGTCAATACAGCAAGAAAATATCTGGACACTTCAGCAACACTAGAGATGCACAGAGTCTCTGGAGGGGCATCCAAACCCTCACAGGCTATAAACCCCCATCTCGGAGCTGTGATAGTGACATCTCTCTGCTGAACAGCCTCAATGACTTCTTTGGCCGCTTTGAAACACAGAACAACACACCAGCACAGAAGTCCAACCCTCCCCCGGCTGAGCAGGCTGTGTGTCTGTCCGCAGCCAGCGTGAAGAAGACCTTCTCCAGGATTAACCCACCCACAAAACACAGAACAACACACCAGCACAGAAGTCCAACCCTCCCCCGGCTGAGCAGGCTGTGTGTCTGTCCGCAGCCAGCGTGAAGAAGACCTTCTCCAGGATTAACCCACCCACAATAACATACCTGGTCATGTTTTAAAGGACTGTGCTGAGGAGCTCAAGGATGTCCTCACGGACATCTTTAACATCTCTCTGAGCCAAGCGGTTGGTTCCCATGTGCTTCAAGGCTGCCACAATAATTCCAATTCCAAAGAAGCCCCACCCAACCAGTTACAATGACTATCAGCCTGTAGCACTGACTTCAAGTATTATGAAGTGCTTTCAGCGGCTGGTCATGAAGAACGTCAAGTCCATCCTTCCTCCCTCTCACGACCCATTTCAGTTTGCATACAGGTCAAACAGGTCCACAGAAGATGCCATTACTGCTGTTCTCCATCCAGCCCTCACCCACTTAGATTCAAAGAACTCTTACGTGCGAATGCTGTTCCTAGACTTCAGTTCAGCATTCAACACAATCATTCCCCAGCAGCTTACACAAAAACTTGGACACCTGGGACTCAGAACCTCTCTCTGAAAGTGGGTGCTGGACTTCCTAACAGGGAGGCCACAAAATGTGCGGGTCGGCAGCAACATCTCCAAGACCATCACGCTGACCACAGTGGCTCCACAGGGGTGTGTGCTCATCCCATTGCTCTTCACACTGCTGACCTACGACTGTGTGCCAACCTACAGCACCAACCACATTGTGAAGTTTGCGGATGACACGACTGTAGTTGGCCTCATTACCAACAATGATGAGGCCAACTACAGGAGTGAGGTGTGTTGAGATGTTTGTTGGCGGAACAGATGTATGGAGCAATCTCTGACCTACTGAGCCCATATTGCACCAGGGGCATACTTATAGTAGGTCAGCAGAAAAACTTCCCAAAGTTTCCAAAGTTTGCTGTCATGGCACCTAAACTGTGGAATGTTTTCAATTCATAATTCACACAGCTACTTCTTTAATTTATATATATATATATA